TTGTGTACTTTGGTACGTTTCCTCTTCTGAAGTTTTCATATTTGTACTCTTTGTTGCTGTTGTTTCGCTTTTGATAGTGCCAACATTCTTCTTTGGAGTGGTTTGGTTTGTGGCAGAAAGAACAGAATTTCTTCTCTTTTTCTCTTCTTTGGCTTGAAGCTCCGTGGAGGCTTTTTAAGGCTTTTGATCCGGTGCTTTCGCCTTTCGAGCTTTCTACTCTGCGTGTGTGTTCATCAAGGAGCTTGTTCTTGGTGAATTCAAGCGTTAGCTCGTCATCAGGCCTTGATTCCAACATCGTGATGAGATTGGAGTAGCTCTTTGGAAGCGAGCAGAGCAGTATAGCCGTGATGTGAGAGTCCCTTAGTGTTTCGCCAATGGTTCGCAGTTTGTCAACAAGTTCCATCATGGTAGTGATATGCTGTTGCATGTCTTTGTCTTCTTCGAGTTTTAAGCTGTATAGCTTCCTTAGCAAATAAATTTTTCCTGAGAGTGTTTTTCTTTCATAGATATTTTTAAGAGTGTCCCAGGTAGCTTTGGCTGTTAGTAGGTTTTTGACATGCACTATTTGTGAGTCGGCGATGCTTAGGTTAATGATAGCTCTAGCTTTTGAGTCTTTCTTTTTCCATTCGATTTTAGGTTCATCTGGAATATTTTCGGTGACAACTTCCCAAAGATCTTCCTTTTGCAAGAGCATTTCAATTTTGAAAGACCATAGTGAGTAGTTATAGCCGTCGAGCTTATTTAGGGTTACATCGTGGCTCGGGAGTGACGCCATTTTTGCTAAGCCTTTTTTTTTCTTTGTCTTAACTCGTTAGTTTAATTTCATGCAATATTCAGTCTCATAATCTAATTGTTGTAAGATTTAGGTACTTACAGCTTGTAGGAAGGCATGAGGACGTTGAGGATTATATGATAATAATCTTTATTATCCATTTAGCAAGAAAAGACAAAGTTATGGTAGCGAACAGTTATTGTAATATAGAGAAGAAGGTAAACAAACAGTTGTGATGATGATAGGTCCAGTGTGGCGCTAGCTGTCGTAGCATTCAGTTATCCAACACCTCCTTTATTCTTACAGATGTCAGTTACCTACTCCTTCTTGATTTTTATGTAAAAAGGCTGTGAATATTAGAATAAAAATAAATTGCTTTTTTTTTGTTATCCTTACTTTTCTTAAATATTTTCCCTTTGTAACAATGTATATTTTAGAAGATTTGTTAATTAAAAAGGTGAAATTTGCTAGAGAGTTCAAAATTGAAGAACTAATTCTACTATTTTTTTTAAATATCTTACATATCTGCGCTTTTTTAAAATTCGCCTTTCATAACGAAAATTAAACTCTAAGCGCTTTTGAATAATTTTAAACATTTTAAAATATTATTTAATTTCACAAATTATCATAATCGTCCCCCCTAACACCTTATGAATATTTAATTTTGAAAAATCTTAGTGAGGAGAAAGAGATTGATACCGAAACTAAGTAGTATTATATCCTATTTAGAAAAGGATCGCCTAACGTCTTTTATAAATAAATCAAACCTACTCTGAAAATTTGGCAACCCAGCCGCTATATTTACATTCTTTTATGCTACTCTGCTTGTAAATTTGGTAGCCCTGCCTCTTTTATTTTTATTTTTTTTCTGTACACGTATAATTGTTTTTATTTTGAACAGCAAATTCTAACGATTCATGCCAAAGAACTAGTTTTAAATATATTTATATATCATGATATTGTTATGAATATATATCATGTTATTTAGTCCCGGACACAAATTTAGCATCCTAATAATAATTTGGTAAGTACAAGCTAAAGTAAATAAATTTTTATTAAATACAAAATTTGATGTTTCTAACAAATTGAGCTAAATTAATTTAATTTCTTATAAAGTATTAAAAAATTCAAATAGGCGTTAGTTAAACCTTAACTTTGATTAAAATGATCCATATTTTTATGTTATTCAAATTGCAACATTTTTGATATATGACATATGATTCTACAAAATGAAAAATAAAACCATACACATTTTGTTTGAAACTTCATTAGGGACAATCAATTATATTTTAATTCAATCATTTGAAAATCATGGCACTTGAATGTTAGTTTACCATTTAAATTCTGACTTTGGGAACAAAAGATGTTATGGCTTAAAAAACTGTCAAACATTTTCAGGTCTATACATGGAATATTTCTATCTTTAAGTCATATTCCAGCCTAAAATAACCTTACCATACCTAATCAAAATTACCCTAACCTAGAGTATTGATACACTCGTCTGCACCTTGCCATCAGTAATCCACAGAAATGAGTATATCTCATCAACATTGTTTTAAAATGTTAATTTATATGTATGTAAGAATTGGAATAGATATAAATGAATTTATTTTTAGGTTTACAATTTTAAAACAAAATTAAAAAAGAAAAAGAAAGTAAAAAGTCTTAATCTTCAGTTGTCATCTTAAAAGTGTCTTCTGCTTTTTTTTATTCTGTGTTGCCAGCTTCTTACTAATCAAATCCTAGATGTATATGATATTCAATATCATTAACAAATCACAAAATATATTGCAATTAATTTATTCAAAAATTTATTAATTACATTGAAAGTGTATTAAAAATGTGGTTTCCATAGCAACCACTATAACCATACGATGTTTTCAATCCCATGGTAACATCAAACAACTTTGTTTTCCCTAGCAACTATTCTAAATTTGATTCAATTCCATCTCACTAATATGAATAACAAGGCTTTTCTGTCCTCTCAAGAGAACAACAGTCTTTTATTTCCAGACTTAAATCTGGTCATCTACAGACAATGACTTTCCAGAAGGGTTGCAAGGTGTTTCCACTATGTACTAAGTGTCAACCTGCAACCCCAAAACACATTATTGACTGTATTGACTCATCCATTGATGAGCTCTACTCTTCCCCGACACACACCATCAAAAATCTCAAGCTTTACAAGCTTGATACCTTAATGTGATTGAGTGGAGATAAGAAAGAAGAAGAAGACAAGGCTTTGAATGATACAAAAAATAAGACCTAATCTAAATAGTATTTATTCTTTTGTCTGATGATGGTAACAACGCTGTTACCGAAACGTCACACACTATTAATTTATTTGGATTAGGTCTTATTTTCTTGTATCTATTATCTATAATCCAAATTGTGCTTTATCAAGGCTTTGAATGAATAGATTTTAGCTATTTTGAACTTTTACTATACACCCATAACACTTTTTAAATTTATTTTTTTACACTCCTAGACAAAACTTGAGAAATGATAAGGTACAATTTGGATTATGGATTAGAAATACAAGGTAATAAGACCTAATCTACATGAAAATAAGACCTAATATAAATAATTTAATAGTATGCGATGTTTCGGTAACAGCATTGTTACCATCATCAGACAAAAGAAAATGATAAATTTCTAATTCATTCTTTTGTCTGATGATGGTAACAATTCTGTTATCGAAACATCACACACTATTAAATTATTTGGATTAGGTCTTATTTTCTTGTATCTATAATCAATAATTCAAATTGTGCTTTATCAAGACCAAATCTAAATAAATAAATTGCGTGATATTTTGGTAACAGCATTGTTCTTTCTCATTCATAACTTTTTTTAATGATAGTAACAACGCTGTTTCCGAAACATCGCACAGTATTTATTTATTTGGATTTAGTCTTATTACCTTGTGTTTATAATCTTTAATCCAAATTGTGCCTTATCGTGACTAATATTTGTTTTTACATGTGAACCCTCCAATTAAAATTGATTAAAATTACTTCTTGATATATATTTATAAGACCAGCTAGATTTGAGACAAAGATTTTTCTAGTGTGAATATAATTCTAGTGAATATGAACCTCTCTGTAAAGGACACCTAGTTGCAGAGTCAAAGTGTCCTTTAGGAAGAGGTGTTCTTTTACCGGAGAGTTGTTAAATAGTAAAAATGGTAATTTTGGCGATGTAAACTGTTCTTTATAGAGAGGTGTCCTCTAGCGTGAGTGTTCTCTCACTGTACTGTAATAATCTTTTATTTTCTCATGAATTAATTTAAATTTCCTGGACATTAATTAAACAATTAAAAAAAGGTTTTCTGAGATAAGTTTCTTTTTATTTTAAAAACCGTCTCAAGCTTTCAGGCATCTCTGTCCTTCTACAGGAGAACATATATAATGGATGATTAGCATCAGACGGTGTTTTATTCATTATATATGTTCTCCTGTGGAAGGACAGAGATGCCTGAAAGCTTGAGATGGTATTTGAAATAAAAAGAAACTTATCTCAGGAAACCTTTTTTTTAATTGTTTAATCACAAGGTAATAAGACCAAATCCAAATAAATAAATAGTGTGTAGTCTTATTACCTTGTGTTTATAATTCAAATTGTACCTTATCATTAATTGTTTAATCTTTATTTTCTCACACAATACCACACAAAGACCATGTTAAACAAAAATTTAAAGAATTCTAAAAGAGCAACCACAACAAAGAGGTATATTTATCCAGAGAAATCCCACAGTATTTACAAATTTATCCTGGTCTCAGGTCGTGGAACTCTCCCAGTTGCCTAAAAGAATTGCACAAGCAGCCATTCTATGTAAGGTTTATAATCTTGTGATGTCATCTCATTGATTCTCTTAGCTATGAGAAAAGAGTGGTTACTATATTTAATCAATAATTCTGTTACAGTAGAACTACCTCCCTGTAAAGGACACCTAATTGCAGAGTCAAAGTGTCCTTTAGGGAGAGGTATCCTCTTACCGGAGAGTTGCTAAATAGTAAAAATGAGAATTTTGAAAATGAAAACTGTCCTTTGTAGAGAGGTGTCATTCAGAGCTCTACTTTCTAAAAGAATGGCAGTGAAGCATTGAAGAAGATATCCAAAAGATATGAGCAAGGTGGTGTAACCCAGACTGGACGTGTACAGTGTGAAGCGGAACACAAAAGTGACATCCACAGTTTTATACCGTTATTGTGCGAGTGTCAAAAAATGTTCCTGCCTGGGATCGAACTGGGGACCTTGTGCGTGTGAAGCACACGTGATAACCGCTATACCATGGAAACATAAGCATTCAGTACTTTGTCTGAAGATGGTTACAATGCTATTACCGAAACGTCACACAAAGCATGAGTGTCCTCTTATGGAGGTTTTACTGTTTCTTTAATTCTCCATTTTATCCTTTTGGAATATAATATATATATATTTGTCTATATATATATAAAAAACTAAACAGAAAATGAATCATGATTGTCCAGGAATTTTTGGCTCTTTGGCTCATTGAGAACCAATCAGAAAGTTGAATAACTCCTTTGAACCAACTTTCCATTATCAAATTTTTCTTTCTGTTCCTTTCCAAACAATGTTCTAATTTAGCTTGTTGTCATCAATGGAGATAAGATAGTGGTGGTGTCTATAACGACGGATGTCATTGATAAAAATAGTGAGAGAGATTATTGGTAATCAACTCTTTGGAAAAATTGTGTGTATCTACATTTCTGAAATTCCTGCAGATTGCTTATTTTACGCAAAAATAATACTTTCATATCAATGATAAGGCACAATTTGGATTATAGATTATAAACACAAGGTAATAAGACCAAATCCAAATAAGTAAATAGTTGTGACGTTTTGGTAACAATGCTGTTTTATTTATTTGGATTTGGTCTTATTACCTCACTTTCATATCAATGTTTATTACATTCCATATACAGTAGTACCTCCCTGTAAAGGACACCTAATTGCAGAGCTAAAATGTCCTTTAGGGAGAGGTGTCCTCTTACTGGAGAGTTACTAAATAGTAAATATGATTATTTTGAAAATGAAAACTTTGTGGAGAGGTGTCTGCTAGCAGGGTGACCGCTAAAGGGTGGTTCTACTGTATTGATATTGTTTGTTTACATTTTTTTTCATATTTGAATGCACATGTTTCCCTCCCGTTTCTTCAGTTGAAGAATTATTGCAAAAGACAAAAGATCTTAATAAAGGCTTTTGTCTGTATGTATCATATTGTTGCATCGTACCCACATGCTGTTCGTGTTCGTTGTTTGATCAGGATGGTACAAAGATAACACACGTGAGTTCGTAAGGAATGCAGCAAAAGTTAGCGCTTTATTACACATTTTACTAAACAGAAGGAATACAATAAGTGGGATTTATTTTCAACATCCCCTTCAGAAGGATTCTTGGCACTGTGGATGTCACTCTTGTGCCCCGCTTCACACTGTACACATCCAGTCTGGACTACACCGCCTTGCTCACATCTTTTGGATATCCTCTTCAATGCTTCACTGCCATTCTTTTAGAAAGTAGAGCTCTGAATGGCATCTAGCTTTGACGTCTATTTTGACAGGAGAGGCAACCTTTGTCTTTGAAGATATATATACAGTCGAACCTCTTTAATTCAACACCCCAAGGGATCAGAGCTTTCGGTTGAATTAAAGGAAGTGTTGAATTAAGGTTATATGATTAGGTAATCATCTAACTCGCTAAAATAATATTTTTTAAAAATAGCCTTGTAATATAAATTAATGATATTAATTGAAACCATTGTGTGTTTTTATTTTATTTTCATGATTAACTTTTACTATCAGTGACAAAATGGCATTAATACATATTTTAGAAACATAAATAATTGTAACAAATAAATTTATTGGCAATGTGTTTCTTTTCAGTAATATAATCAAATATTAACTCTACAGACATTAAATATATTAAATAATATTTTATTCTAATTGAAAAATATAGCAGTTGAAAGGAAATAAATATGGTAAATATAAAAAGAAAATTTTAAAATATTATTTTAAAATAATCATGAAGATCTTTTAAAAAAATCCTTTATAGATATCTGTTTTTGCACTGAAATCTTATTCAGGATGTATTCCAGATGGCATTTTGAAAAAACATGCTTGCCTTTCTTCCTCTGAAATGTCTTTTAATAAATAAATTTTAATGTATTAAAGGCATCCACTGCTGCTGCAGGTGTTATTGATTTTGTGTTTAAATCTTTTATAATAGCACAGAAATGGAATATTGAATTAAAATGTTATCATAATCATTGTTGGATCATTTTATAAAGATTTATTTATTTGAAAAGAAATTATTTATAAATTTAAAAATAGCTAAAATATTTCAATGTTAAAAATAAAAAAATAAAAATTATTATTAGTTAGCGCATGATGCCGAAATTCCCGCGTAAAAAAAACAACAATAACATCCGTGAAATTGCGCAACGGCACTGCAAAGTGAAACTTAAACTAACTAGCCGATGCCGATCGTCGCCGCCGTAATACCGTTTAGCAATAAAGTTAAATGTAAAATAACATTCAACTGTCGAAATTCGAATTTTAAAATGGTCGAACTATCGGAACTGTCGTATTATCGATACTGTCGAATTACGGTTTGTTATTTGATAGGCCGGAGGTCGGGACATCGGAACATGGTCGAATTATCGCCGAGTGTCGAATTGGGGTGTGTCGAATTAACGAGGTTATACTGTATATATTAAGATTAGAATTATTTTTGTGTTTTGTTGTTGAAAAGAGGTGCAGTCGTGAAAAAGTAACGATAATTATTTACCTTTCAAGTAGATTTTATTTTGAATCACTTGAATTAAAAATACACATAAAATTATTTTTATCACAGTAATATAAAATTTAGAAAATGAATTCTATATTCGTGACTTTTATTAGAAAAGGTAGGGTTAACTATACATATTTACAACAATAATAATTAAAAGTAGTATGTTTTGAATCTATGGTCAAAAATATGTAAAACAGTCAATGAATGAAAATAAAATATATGTTTAAAAAAATATATATATATTTGCATTTTAGATTATATAATATATATACAGTAGAACCTCCCTGTAAAGGACAACACCTAATTGCAGAGCCAAAGTGTCCTTTAGGGAGAGGTGTCCTCTTACCAGAGAGTTGCTAAATAGTAAAAATGGTAATTTTGCAAATGAAAACTCCTTTGTGGAGAGGTGTCTGCTAACAGGGTGTCCGCTAAAGAAAGGTTCTACTGTTTATATATACTATGTACACACCCCATATTCATTAATTGTCTCTGCCATAGAACAAACAATGGATAAATTTCAGAGCCTTCAGCTTTGACAAATTCTGAACATCCACCTGGAGACAAAAGTAGCTGCACCAATTCATTGACAAAAATATGGATGGAAATTTTGCTGGGAACACCCCCCCCCCCCCATCAAAATCTATTACAAAAACCATGCACTCTCTGGGGGTCCGCGGCAAAGCCAAAACACAAGCTTGTATCAATGTTGACAGAAATGACCTTTTTTTTAAATAAAATATTTGAAAATTAGAATCCCTTGCACCTGATTATTTGGCAAACAATATCCTCCCAACAACCATTTCCATTTATATTTTGACCAATAGAATTGGTTTAGCCACTTTACAAGCCAAACACCTCTTGGGGAAATTCTAAAGATTTCATGAATCCACCGTAGATCTTTTGAAATCAAAGAGCCATCCCTGAACTGACGAGGGCCATTAGCCTGAAACTACAGTCTCCAGTTTAGTAAACACAAGGTAATAAAACCGAATCCAAATAGATAAATAGTGTGTGCCGTTTCGGTAACAACGCTGTTACCATCTTCAGACAAAAGTACTGAATCCATGATTTGAAAAAAAAAAAGTACTGATTCCATCTGAATGATTCAGTACTTTTGTCTGAAGATGGTAACAGTGTTGTTACCGAAACGGCACACACTATTTATCTATTTGGATTTGGTCTTATTACCTTGTGTTTGTAATCTATAATCCAAATTGTTGCTCATCATTTCTAGTTTAGTGTTTTGCATATTGGCTTTGTCATAGACCTCAGTCTGGTAAATTACAAAGACTGTCATGTGGATAAGGTAGTTTTGCGTCAATTTGACAGGAGAGGTATCTCTTCATTTCTAGATCACTATCAGAGGCCAAATTTCCATCTCTGTATTGCGAGTGTTGTTGCCGTACAAAATCTTCTATCAGAGCATCTCTCACATTTGCGTCGAAAAAGATAATTAAGATCACTACAAACATTCCTCTATAACAAATTTTCCTCAATTTAGTTTTCCTTATGCTTATTTTATAGTTGGGTTTTGAGATCAAATTTTGTGTGGTTTCTCTCATGTGAATTTATAAATTTGATAAGTTTTTTTGCTTATTTTAAATTTCCTTAGAATGTCTCGGCCCTAAAGTTGAAAAGCCATCTCTTTGTAGTGTTTAAACATTGTATTAGATCTGAAGTTGAAAATCAAGCTCTCTATGTCACGTTTGAACCTCATCTTGGACCTCAAGTTGAGAAACTAGCGCTTTCTCTCTTGTTTGAACATTGTATTGGATCTGTGGGTGGTTGCGTGCGTGTTGGTGTAGCTTATGAAAAGGCCCCTGATAAAAATAAAATAATTTTTATAAGATAAATTTATTTATTCAAAGCCTTGAAATAGAGGAAAGAAATAACGGCCGCTGGAAGAAGGGCCTAGTTTTTCGAACGACGCGCATGCTAAGAGTCCTGGATGCCGCCAGTGCATGCGTAGTGAGGTCTTCTCCCAGCTCGTGCTTGCTGAGGCGTAGTGAGGCCGCCACACTACTGCCCGTATGTGTAGTAAAGTTTTGTCCCAGTTCGCGCTCGCTGAAGCAAAGTGTGGTCGCCACAGATCTAAGGTTGAAAAGCTAGTGCTCTCTGTTGTGTTGAGCTAAGAAGGATCTTTTGCAGTTTTGTGGCCAACACCTAGATGGGTTACCATGGAAAGCTCTCATTTAAAATACACATTGGTTGCAATATACGTTACTGCAAAGAGCTATCTTGTGAGATATTACACAACCTCTCTATTACAGTATAATTAAAATATCAGTTCAATTAAAGATGGTAATTTGAGAAGGAAATGGTTGAGATTTGAAAAATTGGAGGGATTAAGGCATGTGTTGAATTTAAGAGGTGTTTACTTCTTTTTTTCCTTTACTTTTCCAAAGTACACGTGGTACAGGCCATGATAATCATGGTGGATAGTTAGTGTCTGACAAGTTCTGTAATTTCACCACATGTCTAGATA